AGTTTGAGTTTCCTTTTAAGGCACGATCTAGTGCTTAACGTTAATGTATATGTGGTGGGTTCGACACAGAATTACAACAACCAAAAAATGACGAGGCAAGTCAGGAGGCTTATTTCAAATTTAATGTACACAAAAAACCTGCCAAAGGCAAACATACAACATAATTACTAATGAGCATAAAATCAACACAATTATACGCCCTAAATGAGCAGACTAATTTGTAAACACATCAGGTATAAATACTAGATTTAGCAAAAAAAAAAAAAACAAAGAAAATCTTATAGTGTGAACCAATCATCTCTTTTAGAAACACAAGAGAGATACGGACACACCAACAAACATTATACAAATACATGACAAAGTAATAAGCAAAAAATAAATCAACTAGTTCTACATAAAACTGACATACCTTGAAGAGCTTCGCTCTTTCCTTTTCTTACATACACTATAACAATTAAATAGAACAAACCTATATACTGTTTCTTAAAAGCCAGTATCTACAACTGGGTTATAGGAATATATTTACAAGAGGGACAATTAATATGGTCAGCTTGACTCACAACCAAAAGATACAATGGGCTTGGCTCATGCGATATGAGCTCGGCTGACAAAACAAAACAAAATAGGAATTGAGGTCCCCACATTACATACAGAGTGGGCCTTCCTTCCAAAGGCATCTCAAAACTACAAAACAAAGGTAGTCCGTCAATGAGGACAAAACCTGGGTAGCAATATGCTATATAAAAAATAAACAAGAATATATGATATACAAGAAACAGTAAAAATGTGTTTACCTGCAGCCTTGGTCAAAACAACAAACTTAGGACGAACACAGCAGGATCAGACAAGGTGGTATTGGAGTGGATGCGGCCCAGTGAGTTTTAATGCAGGATACCAGCAGGAAAAGGAATTAAAATTGAGGATGTCAACCGGACAGGGCATTCAAATCCCGGCTTCCGGGGCAGAGGTCAACTTGGTCTTTTGCTGACCGGTGCTTGGTGAAGTTCAGCCGACCCGTATGTCATGTCCTCCCCACTACATATATAATGTCAAAACGAAATAATTTTTTGCTTATCCGGCTGAATAGATAAGACGCCCTGTCGATGCACGGATTCTCCATGTTCGTTCTACAGATAAGCCTGCTGGGTTTGCTTGTTTCAAAACTGAAACAGTTTGTTCACACAAATGAATGTTTGTAAGCATTGGGTTTACCGTTATTTTTGGAGATTTGAAAAAAAAGCTTCTATAGTCAAAACGGAGTAGAATTCAATTATATGCATCGCTTGAAATTGGTCAAACAGGAAGGTCTGGCTTTGAAAGTTAATCGGTTCCAGTGGTAGGTATGTCAGGACATTTGACGGATCGACCTCAAATGGATTTTTTTTCAAAGAAATATTTATTTGTTTCTTCAAAATTGAAAATCCACACATTTTTCTCTGAAATAATCCTGCAAACTTAAGAACTTGGATCATTCTTTCTTTTGAGAGAAGCATAATTAGCTCTAATTTGCTCACCATCTTTTAAATCGACACATGTTGGGAAGTAGATAAAAATGACCCCTTTCCAGCTGCTTGTCTTTTTCTTTTAATTTGAGTTAAATCAGATGTAACGTGATTTAGCATAAAATCGCCAAATTCCATAAGAAGTCGCTCTATACTGTCCATACCTGCGTTCGCAAGGACATTGCTGTTTGTAGTGCCATATCTTCCAGTGCTCTCGCAATTGACAATCGAGAAAGGCTGACGGCATCGACTTCGTTATCCATCACTCAATTTTTTATCTTTTAATGTGATTTTTTAAATTTGTCTAAACTTTGTTCCGACGTTTCGGCAGGCCGGATGTGGCCCGCGGGTCGAATTTCGGGCATCCCTGATCTATGTCATCGAATGATACTAAACATCTGGTTCTTACATTTCACTCACACGTTATCCTTGTTCCAGGTGATCATGAAACTCAGGAGTCAGAAGCGGGAGAAGCCGACCTACATAAGCACTTTGTTAACTGCAATAAGAATCCAGGCCATAGACAGTTTATACCTGTTGATACATTCACGTTGAAACATTTACCAGAAGGTCATCAAAACAGATACTTGTATGAGCTCGTAAAAGCTTCAGCTGACCTGACAGTTAGAGTCAGTGTTAAAATGACCAGTCCAGACAGACCACGGTTTTGGCCACAGACAACTCTACCATTTCCATTTTCTAATGAGAGACACGCTTCAACATCTAGGATAGGAAGTGGGAGAGTGTGGAATATACATGTGATGCAGGATGGGATAGCACAAGATGGCGACGAGTGTGACGATAGTAACTGCACAGAATGCTGGTGCACAAAATGTGAAGATTCGGACTCCCCCAGCAATGTGTGGTGGGAATTTTTTCTGCACACAGCCAGTCACGTGGTTTTTGATGACTACGAGGCGAAGCACACGACACTGAGACTGTTTTACGACAAAGACGATAGTCCAGTGGTCATTGTTGATAAGGTCATGGTTGATTATGTAAACATTGACTATGACGTATGCGTGCTGAAATGTGTGACATGTGATGAAAGTTTAGGTAGTAGACTGATGGAAATGTATGACAATCATTTAATAGCATGGAACCAAGTCCTATACAAATATACATACTCCAGGGACAAACACAAGTTGACCTTTATAGTTTCCCATCCTCATGGATGCCCCAAGCAGATCAGTATTGGTCAATGGAAGGCCAAAACAGAGATCCATGATAGAACAAAGTTTACTTACTCCACACCGACGTGTCCAGGAAGTAGCGGGGCCTCTGTCCATTGTGTGGGCTATAGTTGTATGGCCTGGAACTCAGAGCTTGTTCATAGTGGATGTTTGAAGCGCGGATTAAATTATAGCGGAGCTGGTCGTTTCCCGTAAATTGTAGCCCTTTTTTGCATTTCTTTGCAAATCAACACAATTTTGATAAAATTTTGTAACATTAATTTCTTTTATGACATCGCAATATTATCTTTGTATGTATTTGTAAAGCGAATGTACATTTGTAATTTCTGTATAAATTTTGTTAAACAAAAGACTTGTATTTATCTATCTCAAATTTTTAGGAGTTTTTATCAAATGAATTGGCCTATATATACATACATAGATATATAGATTATCGCCTGTTCTATTTTTTTAAAAATTACTATAGTATGCTCAGTGTACAAAGTAGTCTGATCTCTTTTGTGGATATATAGGCGAGTGCAGAAACTTTTTATGCTGATATTGAACGCTCAGCAAATGCTTAATCTTCCAATTAATAAAAGCTCTTTAATTAGTGTAGTACAGTTTTTGTGTTGTATTTTTTTTTTATTAAATAATCTATTGTATATTCATACTTAGTTCCACCAGTCGTAGATTTAAAAAGAAATTAAGCAAAGATCTGAAGGCTTAAGAGAATGTTTTTAAATCTCTGTAACTCGCTTTCGTCCCATCCCTGCAACTCCACAAGCCTTTATATAGAAGGTAAATCTACATGCTTCTAACATGTTACTCGTTCAAATGTAAACACCCCATACTGTAACAACTATGCTATGAACAACAACTCCCAAGTCAAGTCAGTCGGTTTAAATGTGAATGGTCACCCCTGCTGACAGTTTAAACCCACCTCTACGTCAGTTATAGAGAGCGGGTCTCAAACAACGACAATCTAGTGCCGAACTGGGAGTCGAGCACTAAATGAGGCTGTGACAGAGCGTCGCATGAGGTTTTTGCGGGACATTTCTCCGACAAAATGAATTACGCATATCAAGAGTTGCGATGACATGGAGGCTAATACGAGGAAAGCCCCACACTTTCATGGAGGACCTCAGACCATTGGTGGGAAGAGGTTTCAGACATTACCAGTGACAGATCTTAGCAGACACAACTTGCCGCCCAATGCACTGAACGGCGCAGGAGGATCTAAGTCTAAGTAAGTAACTACGTCTGTCATAAATAATTGCAATGTCTTCGATTCCGAAGATTAAGGATGAGCGCAGTGTTTCACAAACCCAGTTGCGACCTACAGATTTTTCCACATCTCAAGAGGTAGACTGACATTCTCGTTACCATGGGTAACTTCAATGCGAGGGTGGACTACAACGCTTGGTCGGGTGTTATAGGCACATAGTTGTATAAGGAACAGCGATGATAACGGCAGACTTCTGCTTGAACTGATGCGAAGCAAAACTTGGGAGGTTTCAGTGCTGCTTTGGCGCTCAACAGATCTCAGCTCAAGTCGGGTTTCGAACCCAATCCCGTTGATAGTTTGCTAAGCAGTTTAATCCCCTTCCCTACACAGTGATGTTACTAAAGATAGAAATCCCAATTCCACTATTCCCTAATCGTATTGTCACTGTCGCTATGATCTTTAGCCTTACCCGAGAAACTACTTTACACAAATGTAGGAATATAACACAGTATAGTGAGTATACAATTCCAAGGATATTTGTTGTTATAATCAAATGAAACAATTCACTGAGAGATGTTTCCTTGAGACAAAAATAATCGGGACACGAACGTACAACACTGAAATAAATACAGTGATATATAGGGTCACTTCCTTCTATATACAACTTAAAAAAAGATTTGATCATGCTATGGACAATATCAAACGAAACAAAAAATATACAGTGTGTCAGTGTAAAACAACATCTAAAAATATTTTCAGTTCAGATAATTGTTGAAGTGGTCACGTGAATCCTCATGCACATGATATGATAATATCATGTGACATAGCATGGGACACTACAGATGAATGACAGTCAAAATGAAATTCATTACTACAGATGGCGTAACAGCCAATGTAAGATGATATGATGACATCTAGTCAATACAACAGATGATGTGATGATATTTAGTCAATACATGATGTGATGACATCTAGTCAATACAACAGATGATGTGATGACATCTAGTCAATACAACAGATGATGTGATGACATCTAGTCAATGCAACACATAATGTGATGACAGATGATGTGACTGCCAAAATGACAGAAGACATGACTTCAAACACAACAGTTTTTTTTATTCTCTTTAATAAATTATAATATTTTATGCAAACAATTTTATATACATCAATATTTATATCGAAATAAAGATCGTTACAACAAGAATATTATAGATGACATGAAATATATGACATAAGAGGCAACAAAATCTATGGCCTGAGAAGCACTGCTTCATAACACATCACTTAAAGACAACATAGATGACAAACACAGACCATGGCATTATGTCTAATCAGGGGAAATAATCAGAGTTTAACTTCTGCAACAATCAGATCTTAGATAAAATAGTTCAACAATTAAAACAACATGGCATATAAATATATGAACAAATCAAGAGTTGTCTCCAACTCTGGGAATACCATTGCATAGGTCAAGTGTGTACAGTGTAAGACTAATACAAGAAATAAAAATATTTAGGGACATACACTGTATTGATCAGAATACGGAGTGATTGTTGTATAGACCTGACAATTTTTGTCTTCAGTGAGCTAGAGTGCAGAATGGGAGTTAGACACAGAAAAAAGCTACTTTGTCTAAAAGCATTTAGCAGATGTGACAGATATGGTCTAAAAGTCTTTGAATACAACAGAATAATGACAGAAAGAAGAAATGCAATGATGTTTCACAGTGAAATAAGAACACATATATATTGCCAACATCAACAGTACAAAAATATATACATTTTGTAGATACATTGAGCATACATGCAGAGAATAGAAAACTCTGTAAATAGATATAAAATATAACAATGAAATAATAAATTATATCCCGTCAATATCCACATTTTAAATAAGAACAAAATTAAATACACAATAATTGAAAACAAATATTTGTCATGATAATTTTTCTTTGCCATAAATACAAAATTTTATTCAGTTTCTTAAATATATAAACAAAAAGACCTTACACATCACAGCCATACGTTTGATTATTTATTTATTTGGTTGTAATAATTAGAATTTGTTTTAAGCAATATCACTCAGTTAGGTCACAAGAAATTATTTAACTAAAAAAAATATTGTGGGGTTTCCTCCCTGCCAGAAAAAGTGCAACAAACAGCCAACAGCTGATGGAAACTTCGAATAACGCTATACGAAATAATAATAAAAAAGCATTAACAAAACTTCAGAAAACAAGAAACAGCTGAACATGGTGAGACATCATTATTGCTATTTTCAGCATGTCTTCCATGCTCTTTGGGCCATAATGCACTGAGTATGATGCTCTTAAATCAAGCTCAGTGCATGATGGTCCAAACTCTTTTGTGAACTTGTGGAGGAGGAGGTGGAGAGTACCTGGAAGACTTCCAAGCAACTATCCCTAATCTAAATCAAGATTTGAACTCTAGCCCCAGGTAGTTAGTTAGCATAGCAGTTTATACCAACTAGACGCCCATTCTATAATGAACTAATGGTACTGTTCTCATATCTAGTCAATAAATGCTCCAAATAAAGTTTATGAAATCACAAACCCACACACACATAACAAATGAAAGCTATGTCAAGTAACTCCTTTTGTTATGAAATCACACACACATAACAAATGAAAGCTATGTCAAGTAACTCCTTTTGTTATGAAATCACACACACATAACAAATGAAAGCTATGTCAGGTAACTCCTTTTGTTATGAAATCACACACACATAACAAATGAAAGCTATGTCAGGTAACTCCTTTTGTTATGAAATCACACACACATAACAAATGAAAGCTGTGTCAGGTAACTGCTTCTGTCACATTATTAAGTTGTTAATTTAAAGGAAGATGAACAATGACCTTGGCCACACAAGCAATAAATGAAAATACAAGAAACATAAACAAAAGGATGAAAGACTTGGTGCATTTGATCTGACTCAATAAGAAATCCACATTAGAGACAGTGAAATGATCTACAAACCAAAACTTAGTGACATACAAACCCAGTTGAGTCTGATTTATCTGTATAATCATACAACATAATAAACATAAAATATTGTGAATAATATAATTGTGAATAAGGCTCAATATAATAAGTAACACACTTTTTTTTAAAAAATGAATGTCAATGATTAATAAGGTAATGTAAGTAGTTAAATAAACTTACAGTATAGTAGAAGATTTTTAAAAAACATTATGACAACATATAATTTTTTAATGGGTTTCTAGAAATAGTGTATTGCATGGCAGTATATGTATAACATTACATTTACGGTAAACATATCCAAGTAAAGAACTAATGAGAACTGATCACATTAGAACAGTTTTAAAGCTAATATAAAAGGTAGTTGGTAACAGGGTCATAACAAAAAAGTAACAATCTGTTCTCCTCCAGATGTCTAGGCATGAGAGTCGTCTTCCCTTGGTGGGGTCTGGAATAGAAATAATTAAAATAGAAGTTATAACAAGTGCTGAAATGGGAGATAATTCAAAGAATTACTCTTCATTGTTTTAACTTCTAAAAGCAATCCAGATTTTCATTCTTATTTTTCATTATTAAACTAACACTTAAATAGATTTAGATGTAGATTTTCCTTTTTTATTTATTTAAAATGTCTTTTTTTTTAAGGACTATAAGCCACTGCAATGTAAACTATCTTTATGGACAGCCTACATGTGAGCCTTGACAGTAGTACTTGTAGTTAGCACTGTGACTCATTCAAACATACATTTCATTCCAAAACAAGTCCTCATGAAATAGTCCACAATGAGAAGAGTCACAATTGTAGAACTAACGGTGGTCAATAACAGATAAAAGCCAATGGAATAAATTCTTTTTTTTACATGAAGTAAAAAAAAAAAAAGTTATTTAGTTGTTATGGTTAAGGAAAACTTACAGCAAAAGCTGGATTTGGAGATGGATTAATGATGGGTCTCTGAATTTCAAACTGAAAATAAAACAAAGTGAAAAATTTGTTTGACTGATAAATACAATTTATAACAATTGGAGATATTAAAACATAGGAAGAACCACTTTATTTTTAGTAACCAATCACCTCATTGTATGCTTTGGTATGATTTTTTTGTCAAATTTTTTTTAATAGTTTTTTTGTGTTTAGCTGCTGATTAATTCAATAATTGAAAGGTACACCGTAAAACCAGGGAGCATGGTAAAAAAGTAAAGTAAAGTTCCCCTTGTGGTCTATAGGGCAGATGATGTAAAGGTCATCTGTTTCTGTGGCCTATGGTTAACGAGGGTGTCATGTGGCCAGCAAAACGACCAACCGCCTTTACTTTTCCCTAACTAATGTCATGTACCCATTAGAGCTGGGTGGACTCAGAGGCGCCCAAAGATCCTGAAATTAAAAATCCCAGTCTTACCAGGATTAAAACCCCGGTCCCCGGTTCGGAAGCCAAGTCCTTTACCGCTCAGCCACCGCGCCTCCGGGGAGCATTGTAGCTGAATGGAAAATGCTTGGCTTCTAAAACGAGAATTCCTGGGTATAAATCTCTGAAGATTTGGATATATTTTTTTAGGATGCCCATGAACCCAATCAACTTTAATGAGAACCTGACATTAGATGGGGACAAGACACCCTCGTTAACCATTTGCAACAGAAAGAGATCAACTTACATCACCTTCCATAGATTGAAAGGTATGAAAGTCAAACTTTACTACTAAGCAGTAAAATAAATTACTTACCCCTCTGTGGTTTTGTAATATATTAAACATGTAGTCCCAGGAAAAGTTGGCGCCAATGCCTTTGTTTCTTTCTCTGTTTATAACTGATGACAGAACAAATTAGAAAAGTTCAAGCCTTGATCACCATGTCAACCATCTACATGACAATATTGATCATTTTAAGTCTGATGGGTGCACACCTACCTTCAGAATGATTCCACGTTGTGTCTTGCACAGCTGAGTTCTTGCTGCTGATAGATTTGATCAGCTGGCCATCCATACTGCCAGTGCTGCTAGCAGCATCAGAGAAACCATCAGGGCTATAGACAGAAGGACTGCCCCATGATTCCTTGGTATTTAGTCTGGTTGGAAAGATACTTCTAAATGGAGATTCCCTGAAAGTAAAATATTTCATATGAAAGCAAATCTTTTACAAACAACCTAAAATATAGATTATTAAAAACCTAACAAATTCCCCCCCCCCCCCCAAAAAAAAGCTTTGGTTACCAGTTCTCAGTGGGTGTGTGAGATCCTGTATTTCTTTTTCTCCTCCTCAGACAAACACAAAGGATGATGATGATGATGATGAGAAGCAGCACAAACAAAGGAATCCCAACAGATAGACCAATGATCAAGTCTTTAACTTGTGCTGGAGAGAAAATAAAGATAATGAACATTTTCATGTCTCAACAAACTTAATGAACAATTTTATTTCTAGATCATTACACTTTTTTGTTTAATCATCTCTCAACATTGGACAAAATTCTATTATACTTGGGGTTATGGTGGCTAAGTGGTGTTGATGAAGACTGATTATGAACTTCTGGATTTTTAGGGTGCTCCTGAGTCACCCAACTCTATTGGGTATCTTACATACTTTGGGGAAGTATAGTTGGTATTGTGGATGTCATGACACCCTCATTAAGCTTTACTTATTGTGGCCATAGAAACAGATTAGCTTAACATCACTCACTCTCATAGATGGTAAGGTAGTGTTGTGACATGGTTACTATGTGTGGTCAACCGTGACACATGGTCAAGTGTTGGATACCAGAAGTTAGGGGACTTTTTACTTTAAACGATTGCATAATATATAGAACAATAAAAACAAAACAAGACACAGATATTTTACAAAGAGAATTAGATGAATTACAGAAATGGGAATCAAATTGGAGCATGTCTTTCCACCCAGAAAAATGTCAGTTGTTAAGAGTAACAAAAAAACTAAAACAAATTAATTCCACTTATCTTATTCATGGCAAACCAGTAACACAGACTAAAAACTCAAAATACCTAGGTGTTATAATAAATGAAAAACTGTCATGGAATCCACATATTGATGAAACTATAAAAAAATCCAACAAAGCATTAGGGTTTATTAAAAGAAATTTCTATAAATCAAATAAGAACATAAAACTAAAATGTTATTTAACCTTGGTTAGGCCAATAATAGAATATGCATCCACCGTGTGGGACCCCTCAACTCAAGAAAACATTAAGAAACTGGAACAAACACAAAATAGAGCAGTGAGATTCATAACAAACGAATATTCACATTTGACTAGGGTAACACCATTAGTAAAATCACTAAATTTAGAAAGCCTTCAGGACAGAAGACTCAAAAGTAAAGTAGCAATTATACATAAAACACTGAACCATAATCTTCAAATACAAAAACAAAATTTAATAAAATACTCTGAAAGACACAAAAATAAAGGCACATTCCTCGTCCCATATGCTAGGACGGATTTGTACAAATGCTCCTTCTTCCCTAGTGCTATTAGAGCATGGAATGGGTTGCCTGAGCTAGCCAGAAAAACCAGTGACTTGGCAGAATTTAAGTCATTGGTTAATATGCATGACTAAATGCATGACGCGTAGGACGTAATCATCTTCTTTTTTGAAGTAACGTCTGTATTATATAAGATAAGATAAGAATGTGAATCGAAAGGCACAAGATTTGTTTAAAACTTGATTTAGGTTATTCCACAAAAAAATATATGTGACAGACACATTGTTCACAGAATGCCACAAGGTCGACTCCCACAGAACATTCTGAACTAATAAAAGGCAGGAGAGCTGCAAGTCATCATTCACTTTTGAAGAAATTCCACATTTTAAGACAATATATCAATTCATCATTTATCTTCTTATCTTATGAAATACAGACTTTACTTAAAAAAAAAAAGATGATATTATCCTACACATGTTCATAGGTTTATCTAGTCATGCATGTTAACCAACGACTTAAATTCTGCTTAGCTTAAACATACTTTAACAATCCTCGATCTAAACTAAATAATGTACCAGTGTTACAGTTAACACATTTCAATTTCTCGTTTTTTCTTGTTTTAAATTTAGCTACAAAAATTGAACAAATGTTTAGGTTTGGACATACCAGAAGTTACAGCCTGACCACAATCATCTCCTGTCCACCCACTCAGACATGTGCAGTGTCCATCAGTGCTATTGCATACAGCGCTGTTATTTAATTGACATTTACATTGCAATGTGCAGTCTTGACCATAGTGCAGGGAATCACAACCTGGTTCAAAGCATTAAAATAGTATAAGTCAACTTTTAAATAACAATTTTTCCAATATGTAAACACATTATTTTCATTTCTATAAGCAACTACCTTGTGAGCAATCAACCCCAGTCCATCCAGGCTTACAGGAACATGTTCCATTCACATCATTACAATCTGCTGTGTTGGTTGTATGACATGAGCATACAGAGGTGCAGTTTGCTCCATAGTGGAGAGAGTCACAGGCTAAATGAGACAGAAATTAGATTTATTTTTGGTCAAAAGCTGCAATTTGTGCCATCATTTTACAGCCAAAATTAAAGTGTGTTGATAATAATTTAATTAATACAGCACTGCTGTCACAAGCTAGAA